AAATCGGCACCCATCTCGCCGGGTGACTTAAGAGTTGTGAGAGCGAGAAGATCAGTGGCCATGACAACCTTGGCACCAACAGATTTGCTTGCCGCGATGAATGGTTCGTAGTCATCAATGGATCCATCAGTGGCCGGGTATTGGATTAGGGTACCGCAAAGGTCCTTGTTCGCAGCGACGGTCACTGTCCACCTCATGGCGTTTGGAAGCTGACGAAAAACAAGGCTTTTTCGCGAATCCACAACTTCCGCGTGGCAACGTGGCAACCAATTTGTGCTCAGCGCCGCGACCGAGACGCCAGAGTGGCGGCGGCCCAACTAGAGCCCCGGACTGTGCCGCCGGCACGCCTTCCCCTTCGCCGGGCCCTGTACACCATTCCCACGCACCATTCCCACGCACCGTTTACCAATTCGTTCCGGTGTAGCCATCCCCGTCAGCACGCACACACACACACGCCCGCATCACGAAGGTTAAGAAAGGCCCTCAGGGCCTTACGCCACTCGATCCGCGTCCTCCGCAGGACGTCATGCCGCAGTGCGGCGGCCAACAAAGTTCTCTTCCCCCCATCACGAGCACATACTGTACAAGCATAAGTGAGCTCGACAAACATCGCTGCCTTCCACACCGCCAACTATTGAGTCCATTCCCTCATTTCCCCTCACAAATCCTCTACACATACTGTAACTCTGCGAGCCATAGCTTTCCGTCTTTCGCCCTTCCCCCTTCCCAGCCCCTCTTTATTTTTCCTATTCCGTTTCCAAACCTGCCGTCCCCGTCTCCCCATTTGCTGCGTTTCCGCCGCCACCATCATTCCCTGGTCGCTTCCCGATGCGTGGCTTGCCCTTGACCGCGTCCCCGAGCACCCACTCCATTCGCTTGAGCTTGGCGACCAGTTTTTTCACCTCGCCCTTCTCCATTCTCCGCCGCGATCCCGACGCGCGTTGCTGCACTCGATCAATCTCCCCGACATCTCCGTTCCCTATAACCGCCTCTCGCAACTGATCGTAAACCTCCTTGACAATGCTCCACTCCTGAATCTCCTGCCGGTTCGCCAAGATGCTGCTCGCCATAGCCGAGTACGTAACCGCATCCGCCTCCTGATCATCGTCCTCTCGCAGCATTTCATACACCTCGACCGCCACTTTCCACCCGCCGCCTCGCATGCTGCCTGCATAGATCGCCGCGTTGTAACAATGCGTCGTTGGCGCCGGGATCAGAGCTAGCGTCCCCTTGGCCTCCCGCATCCCCTTTAGCAACTCCACAGCCCGCTGCCACTGTCCAACTCGTCCACACCCGTCTATGAGCGCCGTCCACGCATATGTGTCCGTCAGCCCTAGACCCACGTCTTGCATTTCTCCGACCAGCCGGAAAGCCTTGTCAATCCACCCATTGCGCGAGCAAATGCGAATAACGATGGAATATGTGATTTCGTCCGAAACTATTCCCTTCCTCTTCATTCCTTCGAGGAGTCCTAAACACACGCCCTGGTACCGTTCCACCCGCCCTGTGTAGTCCAGAACAACGTTGCAAACAACCGCAGTCGCGAGTCGCTTCCAAACGAGCCACCCGAATACTGAAATCGCCTCATCCGCTCGCCTGGCTTCAAACAGCACCGTAAGAAGCAAACCGTGCGTTTTCGCATCCAACGTACTTCCTTCTTTGATGCAACTCCGAAACAACGCCATGGCCGTTGTCGCATCTTTGGTTATTCGGTAAATTTTCAACTCAAGTAACACTCTTGTTGCATCAATCTTCATCCCCGGCACTTTCCTCATCTCTTCATTAAGCTTCACGGCTTCTTCTACATTCCCACATTGAATTAAAACGTCAAGCATAGAGTTGTAGGACACGAGGTCTGGTTTCACCCCGCTCTGCAGCATCACCTCCCACATGCGGAGCGCTACTCCCGCGCGCCTAGCCCTGCCCAAACTATGAATGAGCACATTGTAAGTTGCGACGTCCGGGTTGTATCCGAATTTGGAAAACCAGTTCTCTAGCACATCCCGAGCGTCTCTGATCGATCCAAGCCCAATAAAAGTAGATATGCACGAGTTAAGCATAGTCACGTCAGGTTTCAAGTCAATGTCCTCCACCATTCGCCGCATAATAGTTTTGACTAATTCCAAAGTTTTCGTTGCTGGGGTTGAGGATTTCTTTGAGGCATGTACGAGCCTGGAAATGCGTTCTAGTGTCGGCCTACACAGACGATAGCGGGGTCCCCATTCAAAGAGAACGTCATGTCCAAGCTGAATATCACCCGTGCGCAGTGCAGTCTCAAACAGCGTCACTAAAACTTCTTCGTTTGGGTCGGTTTTCGTGTGCATCATCCCATCAAAGACCAGACGCGAGTTAGCCGCATCTCGAGCTTTGCAACATGATGCCACCGCCCCGGAGAAAATGAATATGTTAGGATTGACAGAATCAGAGTTGATCGCAGCCTGATAACTATGCATGACTTTAGAATGAAGACCAGCACGATGATAAGCAGAGATGACCGATGCGTAGGCCCTCTCATTCAGTGGGGTCTTTCTCGCTTGGAGGTCATCCAACACTCTCTCAAAAGATTCCATCACCCCACATTTCGCACATGCGGACAAGAGAGCAGAGCCAGAGATGGCGTTCGGCTGGAAACGAAACAAATCTTTTGCTTTTGTCTCGAATATCTCCAGGTAGTGGGAGCTCCTGCTGAAGGCGCACATCTGAAACAAAATCGACATGGTGTAGTGGTCGGGGTTTATCTGCTTCTCCAACATGGTGTCGAAAATTCTCAGGGCTACTTCGAGTTCACTGTCTGAATCATCTTTAAGGTCGTCCTGCCGTAACGCCCGGCTGTCGCGCAGCCCCAGGAGCATAGCATTAAAAGTTGTTGCATTTGATGCTGCCGGTATCGATTCTGACATTTTGAAGAGCTCCTCGTAAAGCTGCGCTGGAGACATTGAAGGGTTCACCTGCCGAAGCTGTGCCGCTCGCACATGCAATACCTCATTCTTATAATTAGGATCTCTCTCAGCCTGTTGCTTCACACCCTCCAGCAATTGCTTCGCCTCGCTCCATTTCCCTTCCTTTCGCAAACGTTGGGCAGATATAACTTCTCTCAAAATTATTGGTCGACCTCTTGGACGAGGATTTTTTCGCCTATCATGTCTTGCTCGGTGCGGCCTGGCCTGCGGCTCCGACCGTGATGCGAAGGGCCGAACAGAGAAATTCGCTATCCTCGGGCGGCCAAGCCTCCGCGGCGCTAAAGGGTCTAGGGTGACCGGCCTCCATGTAGAATGCGCAAGGGGAGAAGATGCTTGAAACCCCACTGCCTCGGCGATGCGTTGTTGCTTGCCATTCGTTCTCCTGTCATACCCTTCAAAAGACATGGGTCGAGATGCAGTTGTTCAGAAGCATCAATCTGCAAGTTCTTAAACTGGCGCGTTTCGTTATAGAAGAACTTAATAAGGGCGAACTTCGTGCGGTAGCAACATATGACCTTTTAGCCATCGAGAATGCACAATTTGTCTTGGAGCATAACGAGATCCACGGCGGTTTTAGAGACCAGCCATTGAAAATGAGGCAGTTCTCATTCATGGTTGATTTTTTTGGATATTAACCCCACCCTGAAACTCTCTCCTCCCTTCCCTCAGACCATGCTACCCCACAATACTGCGAGTCTCTAGTCTCCAGGGTGACGGCAACGTGCCGACTTCGGCGCATTTAAGAACACCGCCGTCTTGTTCTCGGTACTTAACCGCTTGAAAACATCATGCACCTCGCAAAGAACAGGGAGCTGACGTTTGTGCCAACGTCTCCTCAAGCTTCTTTCCTTGGAGAGAAAAAACTCCAATCAACCGCCTATTCAACAACATCTCCCAGACGGAGACGTCTAACACACCGCACAAGTAAACGGCAGTGCCCTGCTCTCTCGATTCACTTCCTGGAGCCAGCCTATGCGCTCCCCGAATTCATAAACCACCTGGTCATGTCGTGCGGCATCGGTCTGGCGGGCATCGCCGGCGCAAAAGCGACAGAGGAAGCGCGAGCACTCACGGCTGGCGATCAGAAAGCGGAACGCATGGACGAGCTTGCGAGAGATATTGACAGTCTGCGAAGGAGAAAGGAGTTGGCTAATGTCAGTCGAGAAAGGGACTGGGATGATGTGGGCGTGGACCGTTATGCAAACGTAGTTGTCGAGCCCGAGGTTGTACCGGAACTGGAGTCTCATGATGATTTAGAGGCGTTTGACAAACTGCTGATGGATGCCCCCGCAGCGAAGCGAATGGCGCCGAAGAAAAGGTTTCCGGACGTCCACATGAGGCTGCCCGACCCAGCTGAGTTTGAGTTTGAAGATGACGACTGATATGGCCTACCTAAGCAGAAATCTATATATTATTTATGGGGGTATTTGTTCGTTCCTTCTCACGGGATGTTTGCAGGCGATTGCTGGGGATATACAACTTCTCTGTCACCCGTTTATAGTTTGCCGTGAACCTACAGATGTTGACGCGTTTAGAAAGTTGAAGCAGGACTAATGTGCTCGGGCGGAGTGTGCGTATAACGACATGGAACTGGATTTGGAGATAATGACATGATGTGCCAGAAAACTTAATATCCAAGTGAAACTTGAAGACTCATACCGCCATTCTAGAAAGAAACGACAAGCCTTTGGAATAGCAACTATTTTCCTACGTTTCAGTTGAGTTGAAGCAGTTCTCCGCGGCAATCAGAGCTTCCTTGTTAATACGCCATCGCTCTACGAGTAGATATTCTAGAAAATAGGATATCATAGGGTTAACTTGTGAGTTGTAAAGGCAAATGGGAGCAAAAGACCAAGTCTTCCCAGCGGCTTGCACAGAGGTAATTACGAAGTTGTTCTTCCTTGCTTGTCCTTTTCATTTCAACCTTAGCTGTACCTCGGGCTACGGAGGATCGATGGGAGGCACAAACTTCACATGACTACTGAGTGTTGAAAAGATTCATTTAATTCAACATTGTAAACATGTACTGGTTTCGAGAATATTATCGTGACGCGAAGGGTTTTTTTTTTTTTTTTTGGTTTGATAAAAAAAGATCATGTGAAGATGGAGTTCCTCGAACTGAAAAGGAACTCATCTCGGGGACGTAAAAAGAATCCGAGCATATCTGCCGAACTGCAAAACCTGACGCCTGGACTGTGCTTCACTGTCGGGAAATCTGTATTCTCTTCCTCTCTAAACAGGGCCTTCTGCCCAAATGCCACTGCCTTCTTTGTTTTTTGCTTTCCAGAGCAGAGCAAGCAAACACTCCCTACCTCTTCTTACAAACAGTACATTGGTAACTCCGACTGGGGTGAGCCAACGGGTTGGGGTTGTAAAATCGTTGAAATGCTACAAGTGGAGAAGGATGTACAATATATTCGGATATATAATATATAATTATATATATCCGGTTAGTGCATCCCTAAAGACCTAACACGAAAACCCCTACGTGTCACATCTGTCACACTTGTTATGCTCCCGTCCCTCTCTCTACCATGATCCCTGAAATTTCAACGCTCTTCTCAGCACCGAACACCTTTCGCAGTCGACAGTCTTTATGGCTCCTCCCCCTGGGAAGACATAAACGACGCGTATACGCCTGACAGAAGCTAGAAATCATGGATCTACAGGCGAACGGACACAGTATCGAATATCGTTGAGATCGCGTAAACGCTTGGAGGACTGCAAATTTTGGCTGCGGACTGTTGACAGTCCGCACCTGACATCAGGTGTTTGACGCTCTGTCACGTCTTAGGCCGAGAAGCGGGCGTTTCTCATTGCCAAACATGACAGAGAACTGACGCGGAGCAGGCAGACGTTAATTACCGAGTGTATGGAAACCGACATGACGCAGTCACAGGTTAATGCTGTCTCCGAATAGTGCCGGTTTTGTGGCTCCCGCACGGGGAGGCACTAATGGGAAATGGCCCCTTAACTGTTTTTATTAATTAATATCCTGTTGACAGGACTGAGATTTAAGGTGTGACATCACACCTTAAATCCCAGTTATCGAAATGAAAAGATTTATTTAGAGACGCCAGTTATTAAGACGTTGGTCGTCGCCATTCCGCACGTACAGAACGACTGCTACGTATGAGCAACGCTGTTTGCCCGTTCGGCCTAGCTTAACCCACGTTTTGCCCTATCGGTCCTGCACCAAAGGATAGAGCTCAGTTCAGCGTCAGCTTGCAAAAACGCTCTCGGAATGCTTTGAAATTCTCTGCCGGCGGAACAGGGCTGTTCAGAATTTCCCTGCAGGGCAAAGTGCCCAACCCCGTTGCACGTAATGGTGCTGGCGGTAGTCCAACAGACCAGCGCAAACGACAAAGATGCCAAGGGGAAGGAGTTTCAGGTTGAGCTGCGGCCTCCGCGCTTTATTAAGCCGAAGGACACTCTGCATCCTTCGCAAACACCTTTGCGAATTGAGTCGATCCAATTTGGTATCATGTCATCGAAAGAAATTGCGTCTGCTGCCCACATTGAAGTCAACAACAGAGATTTCTACGACGCGCAAGACCGATCGCAGACACGGGGTGGCACTTTAGACCCGAGACTGGGTGCTATCAATAAGCGAGCTGTTTGTGAAACTTGCCAAGAAAGTCTACAAGAATGCATCGGGCACTTTGGATACATCCGCTTATGCTTGCCTGTCTTCCATCCAGGTTACTTTAAAGCAGCGTTGAATACACTACAGATGATTTGCAAGCATTGCTCGCATGTCATGATCAAGCCAAGTTTACGACTGAAATATGTTACCAAATTGCGAAACCCAACCCTGTCTTCCAAAAGCCATATCCGTGGATCCATTCTCCGAGAAGTCTGGACGCAATCCAAGAAAGTCTCACTTTGTCCGTACTGCGACCGAGCAAATGGGACTGTCAAGAAAACAGCTGTCCTGAAAATTGTGCACTATCCTGCGGACAACAAACCACCGTCAAAAAAGAAAGACGAAGATGATGAAGATGATGTGCTTAATGACGACGACGAGGACCTCTTCCTTGTGGACCCGGCGTTTCACAATGCCGCGAAGAATAACCCTGACCTGCGGAAACATATTCCAAAGGCGGCTGATGACCTGAATCCGTTGAAAGTTCTACAGCTTTTTGAAAAGATACCTGCCGAAGACGTTCAGCTTTTGGATATGGATCCTGAAATTGGAAGACCCGAACGAATGCTAGTTCAATATTTACCGGTCCCGCCATTGTGCATCAGGCCAACAGTGTGCGCGGACCCCTCTGCTGGATCAACTGAGGACGATTTAACTGTGAAGGCCGCGGAAATTGTACAAGTAAACAGTGCGATTGCGCAGCTCATGGAGAAAGGGGGAACCACCGCAACTGTGTTTGATGCGTGGGATCAGATGCAGTATGAGGTAGCTAGATACATCAACTCCGACCAACCTGGTCTTCCGCTGGTCCAAGGAGCAGCAAAACCACTGCGTGGTATTTGCCAGAGACTAAAAGGAAAAACAGGCAGATTCCGAGGGAACCTGTCCGGAAAGAGGGTCGATTTTTCGGGAAGAACTGTTATATCTCCAGACCCCAACCTTCGTATCGACCAGGTTGGAGTCCCGCAACGTGTTGCCAAAGTATTGACATATCCCGAACGTGTAACAAAGTTTAACATTGACCTCCTGAGAAAGATGGTGAGAAATGGCACTGAAAAATACCCCGGTGCAAATCACATTGAATATCAAGACGGTTCTAAAAAGTTTTTGAAGTACGGAGACCGCAAGAAGATCGCAAAAGAGCTTTCATTTGGTACTATTGTTGAACGACATCTTATCGATGGTGATATTGTCTTGTTCAATCGTCAACCAAGTCTACATCGAATTTCTATCATGGCCCATCGTGTGAAGATAAGCCCGCATCGAACATTTCGGTTCAACGAGTGCGTCTGTGCTCCCTACAATGCTGATTTTGATGGGGATGAAATGAATCTACACGTCCCCCAGACTCAAGAGGCTCGAACTGAGGCATTAGAACTAATGGGTGTTGTGAACAATATCATGACTCCCAAGAATGGGGAACCTCTAGTCGCGGCAACACAGGATTTCATTACGTCGTCGTATCTTTCAACGAGAAAAGACGTATTCATGGACAGAGCAGAATTCACGAGGGTACTAGCCACCATGTCAAGCGCTGAGTTTTCTTTACCTCTCCCTCAACCAGCTATACAAAAACCGATGGAGTTGTGGACTGGAAAGCAGTTATTCACCGTTCTGATACAGAGTGCGGCCCTGTCAGCCGGTGCCACGAAAGAGCGCGTTAGTATGGCTGACAAGAGCTTCACTGAGTCGGCTGTGCTACAACCTTCCTTAGCAATGATTACCACAGAAGTACCCGAGAAAGGATGGTCGATGAAGGGCTCGGTCGGGCCTCTCTTTGACAGCGTCATGTGCCCTAAGGACGCATATGTGTGCTTTCGCGGAGGAGAACTCATGTGCGGGCAGGTTGGGAAGAAATCGTTGGGAGATGGCTCAAAGAAGTCTGTTTTATACATACTTGCTAGAGAGTGTGGAAACGAAGCTGCTGCATATGCCATGAATAGACTTGCTCGTTTCTCTGCCAGGTGGCTCACGGATGGTGGCTTCTCAATCGGGGTCGATGATGTATCCCCATCCTTGGCGCTACAGAGAATTAAGGCCAGGCTCGTGAACGATGGGTACGAGAAATGTCAAGAATTTATCGAGCAGCTTCGGGTTGGTAAACTTGCTCCTCGTCCAGGGTGTTCACCGGAAGAAACCCTCGAAGCAGTTCTGAACAAGGAATTGTCAAATATTCGAGACGTGGCGGGGAAAGCTTGTTTGAACGAAATCGATGTACGCACGAACGCCGCATTGACAATGGCACTAGCCGGTTCAAAAGGGTCCACCATTAATATATCTCAGATGATTTCGTGTGTAGGGCAGCAAACTGTTGGCGGCGGCCGTGCTCCTGACGGTTTCTTTGGAAGGGCATTGCCACATTTCGAATTGGGTTTGAAGGCGCGCTCACCAGTTGCGAAAGGATTTGTATCCAACAGTTTCTTTAGTGGCATGAAGGCGACTGAGTTCTTCATGCACGCTCAAAGCGGTCGAGAGGGGTTGACTGATACTGCCGTGAAGACTGCCGAGACTGGTTACATGCAACGACGGCTGGTCAAAGCATTGGAAGATCTGAGCGTGCAATACGATTCCACCGTCCGTTCAAGTAGTGGCTCTGTGATACAAATTCGGTACGGAGACGATGACCTAGATCCGATAGAGATGGAAGATCCGAACGACGGAAAACCGGTCAATTTCTCAAGGCTTTTAGACGCAGTTACTTGCGCCATGAAGGATAGCGACGATCCCAGGCTAAGCTCTGATGAGCTCAAAGACTGCACGGCAGAGATGGTGAAAGAATTATCTGACGACCTGTTGGCCTCAAAGCTGCTTCCCAGCGAGGACGAAGAAAATCGCGGCGGTCTTGCCCACTGCATCAAAGACGTACAGAAATTTCTCATCAAATTTGCCGACAAGCAAGATGAGCTAGAGAGCAGTTTTGGATTGAGACGATCTCAGGTCAAGGAATTTCTACGGCACGTTCAGGCCAAGGTGCGGAAAGCCACTGTGGAACCAGGCACTGCAGTCGGCGCTATTGGTGCCCAGAGCATCGGTGAGCCTGGCACTCAAATGACTTTGAAGACATTTCATTTTGCAGGAGTTGCCTCAATGAACATCACACTTGGCGTTCCGCGTCTAAAGGAAATCATCAATGCCAGTACTCGAATTTCGACACCGATTACAACAGCACCGCTCGTATTTGACCGAGAGATGACGGCTGCGCGCATTGTCAAGGGCCGCGTGCAACGAACACTGCTTGGAGAAATCGCGTTGTACATTAAAGAAGTCTACCGCAGCGATGACTCTTACCTTGCCGTGCGCCTGGATAAGAGTGTTATTGATGCGTTTCAGCTAGATGTGGATATCGTGGAGGTTGCCATGAGAATTGTGTCGCACTCGTTTTCAAAAATTCGCGTCAAGCCGGGTGGCATTGTCGTAATTCGACCAGACAAGCTCAGAATACAGCCTGCCCGTAAAGCTGAGACCTCTAAAAGAGGTCTTGAAAATATGCTTCGCCTTAAAAACAAGGAAGCTCGAAAGAAGGATATGGAAAGTCGGCCATACTTTCTTATGCAAGCATTGAAGCATCAATTACCAAACGTCCCAGTTTGCGGTATCGGCGCCGTGTCGAGGGCAGTGATTAGCGAAAGCGACAGCGTGAGAGGCTCTTATCATCTCGCGATTGAGTCAGATGACATAGGAAGTGTCATGACTGTGCCAGGGGTCGATGGAGTGAACGTCACTTGCAATCACATTATGGCAGTTGAAAAGACTCTTGGTATCGAGAGTGCAAGGTAAGTTGTTATGGCTTCGGGCCGATGAGTTTCTTCTATTCTGCCTGATACTTGGAGTCTGTTGTCATTCACCCGCGGTAGCTACTAACACTTTTGGTTGTAACTGGTTTGATTTTTCTTCTACCTCGAATAGGCAATCGATTCTGTCTCAAATTGCGTTCACTATGAGCTCACATGGCCTGTCGGTGGCGGATCACCATTTGAAACTTCTTGCCGACTGCATGACGTCGAGTGGAACTGTTCTTGGGATCACGCGTTTCGGAATTCAGAAAATGAGGACTTCGACATTAATGCTTGCGAGTTTCGAAATGACTCTAGATCATTTGTTTGATGCCGCTATTCACAGCAGAAAGGATGAAATCTCTGGGGTTTCGGAACGTATCATCATGGGTGTACCCATTCCACTCGGTACCGGACTGTTTCGACTGCTTCGGAAATCAACACCAGACGATGAGTCTGTTGCTGCCCAGAAACGGAACATATTGCTGAAAGAATCAATGCCGACAAGAGTGAATATTTGAGCGGTGCGTCGGTATATGGTGGTGCGGGTCCACCCGGCATAGAAAGAGTGGTTGATTGACTTGTATATTTTCACAGATGCTGGTTGAGACGAGCATCGTTAGGATTTGTATCTGTGGCGAGTATCTCTCACACAAGCTGAGAGGGATGACTGTGGACTTTCTTAAGTACCTGGCTATCGAACCCGGTTGCTTTCCTTTACCTATCAGCCTTCCTATCCACGACCTCCTAAACCGCTTTCCTCCATTCCCTAACGACTACTGGTGAAAATATATGCCCCTTAAATCCCATGAGACCGAAACGTCTCGACATCTATGCAAAAGGTAGTGAAGGGGGCGGGAGGGGGTAGTCGTCGTAAAAGCGGCAAGGAGCGCAGGAGAGTGAAAGCGAGCACACGTGGACACTTGTATGCAAAATAGCCAAAACCCCTTATCTACTGGTCGAGCACATTGCCGTTGACACCGTTGGCTCCCGCAGGCTTGGGCTTGAGCTCAAGGTTCTTGTGGCTGGCCGGTGTGCCGATGCAAAGCGTGACAGTGACGTTGTAGTCCTCAGTAATGGACATGTCCAGGATCCTATTACCGCACTCGTCGGTGGCCACACCGCCGCATTGCTCGACGACGAAGGCGACCGGGGCAGCTTCGCACATGAGATGTACGCCCTCGGACACCAGGACGCCTCCGGTCTGCATGAGCTGGTTGACGTCGCCGATGACGCAGCCCGTGGTGAACATGCTGCAGCAGAGCTTGTCGACCATGTGGGCCAAGGACTGGGCGATGGGTGTGCCACGATGCAGCAGGGCGCGGTCGCCGTAGACGGTGATGGGGTTTTCTGGGATGGCAAGGCGCATGGCCGGCTGCAGGAAGTACTGCAAGGCGACGGGGTGGAGGACGAAGGAGTAGGTGCCGTGGCCCATGGTGTAGCACAGGGTGGTGGCAGAGCTGAAGGCAGCGTAACCGGCGGCAACCTGGTCGCCGAGATTCTGACGCAGATCCATGCCACGGCCCGGGAGCGAGGCGGACGACTTCCTCTTATACACAGAAAACATCATACCGGCGACGCTGCGCTCCTCGGAGCCGATAGTATCATAATCAAGAGGGGAGACGCAGACGACGTAGTTGCCGTGCAGGACGGAATCTGAGAAGGTGAGCGGCTGGTCGCAGCCCTTGGCGAGGACGATGCAGCAGTATCCGTCGTGGGCGAGGACTCGGTACAGGCGTTTGATGGCCATATCGGCGGTGACGTCGACGCCGGTGCCGACGGTGCCGTACTGGAAGTGCTCCGAGCGCTCCATGACGGAGGAGGCGGTGGAGCAAGTGAAGTTTGCGATGTCGTCGAGCAGGCGGACGAGCTCGCCGGTGTAGTCGACAGGGTAGCGGGCGAACGTGCGGCGCACGTGGGACAGGAAGACGGTGGCGGCCTTGTTGATGTCCGACGTGAGGCGGAGGCCCATGGGGGAGGCGGGCGACACGATGTCCATCTTGGCGGCGGCCGAGGCCATCTTGGACGGCGACGCGACGGCGACGGGCGGGGTTGCCAGCGGCGGCGGCGTCTGCGGCAGCGGCGGCGCGGGGGCCGAGCCCGATGACGCGCCGACCGGGCGCGACGGCGGCTTGCCTTCCGCCCGCTTGTGGCGCTTTGGTGGCGCGGATGCCGTCGCGGAGATCGTCGATGCCGTCGGCGTCAGCAAGGAGAACGGGCGCGTTTCTTGAGTCATTTAGCGGGCGGGGCGTGTGGGACGGGCGCGGGCGGGCGGGGTG